ATTTACTGTCTTCCCTGTCCACAAATACAACTATTTGATCGCCCAATTTTACAATGTAAGCTGAATTTTTTTTCTTGCAGCATGATGCATTATTATACAATATCAATATCAAGGCCTTTTTTATTGGGTATTAGAATTTTTGCTATAAACCGTTTGTAAGAAAGTTTCGACGACATGAATTATCGATTGTCAACCAAAAATCCTTGTAATAGAAGAGTCGTAGGACTTATAAAAAACATTGAGTTAGCTTAGACTCTTATTCACGGTAGACCTTTGAAGGACTTTTTGATAAGACGAAAGAATATGACAACCATACTTTATCCATCAAATCTCATTTTCTATTGGTGCAAGAGTGGTTTGAGAGATGGAAATTAATCTCCCTAGTTTAGGAATTCTGAGATTACTTGAGAAGCACAAAACTTCCTTTAAAGTTTATGTCCTTTTTCTTGCAATCTGCTACTTTGACAGCCAATGATTTCTTTTAAAATTCTCCTCTTTTCTCTTCATAAGTAAGCTACTGAGGTTGATACAGAATATCCCAAGTTAAATAACTAATTAGATAACATTCAGTTTACTCTTTAATTCAATCACTACTACTCCTGCTGCATATAAAACCTCCACTTTAAATCTGTTTTCCTCCTTCACTTAATCCACTGCCCAAAAATCCAAAGAACTATTCATTAAATTTCTGGTTTATACCAGGCAGTTACTAGTGTTCTCCCCCTCCCCACAACACACACACAAGTTGGCTTGATGTCCTTTCAGCAGTTAATCTGAGAAGGAAGCTGAGTTGGTGCTAGGAAGTAAATTAGTATGATATGTTTCCTGACTTGTTCCTCTCTTATGAGGAAAAATATATGAGCAAATGCAGTGTTAAAAGACAAGAATGTTGTGATTCATATCTGCTAACCTAATTTGACTTCTACAGTATATACAAACTGTCTTCATTTTAAATCTTCAGTGAGCTAGACATTTTTCTTCACAAGCTACTTAAGAATGAAATAAGACATAATATTGAGATATGTACTGTACATAAGCAGGATTAGGCCTGTACAAAACTTGTGAATTCAACCATTTCCTTCATCTATTTCTCCCACACCCATCTTCTGTGCTGCTGAAATAAAAGATTTGTCAGCCCGTCAAAGAAGACAGAATAGGAAATAGATGTCACAAGGATTACTGGAATTCTATTGCTTTAGGACAGTGATGGCGAACCTTTTAGAGACCGAGTGCCCAAACTGCAATCCAAAACCCACTTATGCATCGTCGGGTGCCGGGTGGGTGTGGACCATTGGGTGGGTGTGGCCCATTGGGTGGGCGTGGCTGCGGTGGTAACAGCAGACTGGGTGGGACTAAAAAGTTCAATCAATCAATTCCAACTTTGCAAGATCTTTTTTTTCCCCCGCGAGAAGTTTAAATTGACTGATTGATTGAATCTTTTTTTTTGTACACAGTGGCCGAGGCCTAAAGTGAAAAGGTTTTATAAAACCCAGCTGAAGGCCTAGGATTGGGCGATGGCGCGAGTGCCCACAGAGAGGGCTCTGAGTGCCGCCTCTGGCACCCGTGCCATAGGTTTGCCACCACTGCTTTAGGATGTATCAACAGAATTTTGAAAGACTGACATAGACCGTTTACCTTTACACCAATGTGGATCAAGACAGACCAATCTGGCATTTCTTTCGGACTTCATCCTGCCTTTCAGGGCTTATCTAACAGATACTGATTACCTTCTTCAAGGACAGCGGTCCCTAACATTTGCAGTTTGGCAGCCTGGCTGGGGGGAGGGGGAACTGGGCTGTGTGAGTGGTGGCCCAGCTTGCATGCATGTGCACAGTTCAAATAGTTGAGCTGCATGTGCACATGTATGCGTGCCAGCCCACTAGTCGCATACACGTGCACGCTGCCTCCCCACTCGTGCAAGTCAAGCAGTTGTGCGCATGGGCCCGGTGCTCCTGCGGCTCCATTGCAAATAGGCTGCAGATTGGGAGTGGGCTGCAGCCCGGGGGTTGGGGACTCTGCTCTACCTTACCAATTTGGGTGCTAGACTAATCTCTTCCAAACCTTGTTAAGCTGAAATTCCTGGTTTATAAGTAACAATCTAGTATTTATTAAAAGGAAACTGAATTCTGGTTCATTTCTCATCTTGGATATTTAGGAGGGTTGTATAGATTTATGCACATATTCCAAACTAGTTTCCTCATAATGTGTAAACTTGTGGTTGTTAATTTATTGGTTTAGACAACACACTATATTTTTCGTTCCTTTTTTATATACTGCTTGAGTCAGTTTTAAGTACTCCAGACTTTCTTAATAAGAACCGATTGCAAAAAGAGTCTATTGATATGGGTGTGTATATAATTTTACAAAGGTAAAGCAAACCATTTTTTATTAAGGAATCCTAATAATGGCTATTACCAATGTTCACGTAAGATACTTGTTTTTGTATTTCTTCTCTGATAATTTTCTTACATTTATGCCTTGAACAGAATTTTATAAATGCCTGAAGGATGTGCCTTTTGAAAGATATCAGATTCCATCTGCCCTATTTGATTTACATTTTACTGCCTTTTCTAATGCTTGTAAAGCTTTTATTAGGCTTTATGTAAAGCTATCTTCTACTATCTTAGGCCAATTACTTGGCTTATCTTTTCTTTATTATTACATTAAATGAAGTGAATTATTTCATATGACTCAACTATTAATATATATTGCATAAAGTATACATGTATTAATATATTTATAAATATCATTATTGATGTGAGGATATTCAAAAGCAGGTGATAACTATTATAAAAATATAGTCTCCCTTCTTCTGGAGAAGATTGAGATATATTGTCCTATATCTAATTTGTTCTAACTGATATGTTTGCTCACACATCAAAGCGATCTGTTTCATGCATTTGTTAGTAGTTTTGACAGCCGCTGTTGCTGTCCATCTTAAAATTAGCGAATTCTCCCCTCTCTGCTTTCTGGTTTTTAAAAATACTTAACTAGATAAATATTTATATCTTAAAAGATAGTAAATATATAGAGTAAAGGAAGCCAAGCAAAATACAAGGGTTAGGGATATTATTTTAATCATATGTTCTACAGAGGACAGTTAAATAGAATGTTGGTGAATGCAATATTAATGCATTATTTGAACTAGTTTGGGGGAAATCACCCCTTTTCCCTTTAGAGATATGAGAATGACTCATTTAGCTGCTGCTAATTCCCATAATTTATTTATATGAAAAAGACCCTTTGTCTTTGTGTTACTGAGGTGTATGAAGTATGTTGATCATCCCAACTCCTGGCAGACCTAGAAGCAAAATTAGACACTGTATCTATGGTAATGTAAGGATCAGGTTTTTTTTTTTTTTTTAAAAAAATAGCCATTTAATCCACTGATCTACAATCAATCTGTCGGGGAACTCTCAGTAGCTCATTTTATTATTGGACAAATTGTAATTTCAAAAAGATATGTTTGTTGTCTAAAGACTATTTTGAGGTTCCAGACAGTCTATTTGTGACAATTTTTATATCAATTGATCAGATATTATTTGAAATAGTTTTTAATGGCTAACTCAGTTTTATTTTGTGCAGATGCTAAATTTGCATCTGTTCTCCTTTGTGTCTGATAATTTCTTCTTAATGTTGGCTTGTTATGTTCTACTTCAAGTTTATTTTAAATCTATATCTATCTATATCTATATCTATATCTATATCTATATATATATAAATAAAAATGTAAATGTTCGTTTGTTCAAAATCTTAAATCTCCGAAAGTTCTTCACCGATTGCTTTGAAATTTTGACACAACGTTGCATTCGAATACACACGTGTTTTTATATACCTACTATTATATAGATGTCACACCTGTGACAGGTAAAAACATTTAACCTATCTGAGCCACAGCAACGTGTGGCCGGGTACAGCTAGTATCAAATAAAAAATATCACTACTATATTGATTATTTATTCACCATCATCCCAGCTAGCTTTGGTCTGAATTCAGATTAACATTAAAATAGCAAGTCATAAAGATGAATGCTCTAATATGTAAATTGGTAAGAGATGTGATTTTTTTTGCCTCATTTTGCTTATCAAGGGAATGCAAGGAAGAAGTGAGCTATAGCCCCAGCACCTGACTGTGCATATGATAACATTATTTATGAACAGTGTCTAGTGACACAAAAAAAGACATTCAATTGCTGTTGAAATGTCAATATTAAGAGATGGTGTCAAGAATAACAATCTGGGTTGGCTTTGCAAACTTTTGTGTGGATGATGAACCATTTCCACTATTTAAGCAGCAATACTCATGTATTGAAGTGTAAGAATTTACCAATACAAACAGTGACTAGAATCCAATGAAGTCTAGAAAATTAGTTACCAATCTACAGCACTTCCAAATAATATATTTGTAATTTTCTACTTTCTTGCATTTTTACACAAAGGCTTTCTTTTGGAACTCATGCTCAAATTCCTAGATTTCAGTACAGGCCTGCATTTTGTTTACATATAATTCCATTGAACTTTCCCTTTTGTATGGCCTCTTTTTTCTGAATATGTTATACAGTACTGTTCAGCTTTGTATTCAATCTTCTGTACCAGTATCAGAATACTACAAATAGACCATATTCTCTTGGAAAGTCCTGTAAATGTGTTGTTTGTTCCATTTAATTTGTTGCATAGTTTTGTTGTGGTGGAAAAATGCCAAGGAAAACTTAATAAGATACATTTAAGTTTTTAAAAAGAAAAAAAATCAGGGTTATAGAATGAGACTATTTTGGCAATATATGAAAAACATTTTATTTTTTAATAGTCATAGTTTCTTGGCAAAACTATTCAAAAGTACTAACATTTTTAGACAAACCCGAGACCAAGAAGCCATTTTCACTCATGTTTGATGATTAACTTGGGTAAAACCAAAATTTTATCTAGCAGTGACTATTTAATCTGCTACAAATCATTGTTTTATTTTCTGTTGGACTATTTCTCCCTCTCTTTGTTTCCTAGGATAAAAAAGATAAAGTTTCCAGGTTTGATACTATTCGACATTCCATTGCTGGTATGATAAGATCACCAAAGTCTATGTTAGGCTCGTCATCGGTAAGTGGACAGGTAATATATTCTAATGTCTATATCAAGAAAAAAAATTGCTTTCACCATTTTCTGCATAATTTTCTGTTATTTGCTGCAGGATCATTTATTTGATTAATGTTTACAATACTTCCTATATTGAGAATGGTATTTCCTAGCCGTCTGCAGTAGATGAAACCCTTCGTTAAAGAATTCAAACATTTGAACTCCCAAAGTACAGGTGCACATTCATTTAATAAGCAAAGTTTGGATTAAACCTAAATGTATATAAATAGATTTTATTGTAATCAAGAAAGTCATCAAATTTCAGGTATAATCATAATTGAAAAAAGTATCTGTCCCTGAGACCAAGTCCATAAGAGTTACCTAGATTCAAGCTTTCAGTCTAATGGCTAGTATCAGAATGCAAAGTTAGGCTAACAGAATTAAAACAAAAGGATGATGAAATATCAGAAAAGAAATACTGTACACATTTATTGGCCCATTTGGGGCTTCTCTTACTCATTGATCTGCTTGTCATGTTTGTACCACTGCCTTATCTGTTAACTCTTCTAAATTAATTAAACCTGTGGGTGAAGTTTCATCAGAGTTTTCACTTAAAAAATGTGCCGATATAAGTTACATCATCATTTTCCAATCTCAGCCTTTATCTGTCATATGCTCTCACTTCTTGTTAAAAATTTGACTTACCTTGATGCAATATATTATAGGAAAATATGAATGGGAACAGCTTGTTCTCAGATAGGTTATGTTAATTTTAGTTCATGTTGTGATCAAAACCTGGCACACCTAAAAAAACAAATCACTTTGAAGATATAATATTTGTTAAGTATGCAAATAACAACAGTGTACACTGGGCTTGTAGCAAAGCATTGGCAGCATCCTGAGCAGCCCTGAGCAAAAAGAAGAACCATAGCTTATAAACCTTTGGCCTGCTACATTGAAAGGACAAGACAAAGGCAGACAGAATAAAATACAGCATGATGTTGGAATGATTTTGATAAATGGATGATTTTCTCATTATTTATCCTTTATTATTAGATCAAGCATGCTAGCTATATTATCTTCAAGATATAGTCAGTGAATATAAACAAAATGGTTTATTGGTCTACTGGTTTCTGTTTGATACCTTCTCCCGAAGTCAGGATCGATTTGGTTTCCTGCAAATGTTTCTTTACAAGGGCACTTTCAGTAGTTCACATGAAAGGAGCGAGGGAGGAGGCATTTCATAAGATTGATAATGAAATGCAGCTCACACGTGAAGGGAGGGGTACTTTTATTACCATACTCACTAGAGCATAAGTATATAATCCAGTATTACAAGAAAATCATTCATTCATGTGCATACAGAGAAGGACAGATGGGACAACCTTTCAAAGGATGTGGCTACTTCAGTGCTTTAAGAAAAGAAACTAATGTTCTAAGAAGCTTCTCTTTGGAATATTTTGCACAGCCCTATTAATGCACAGAATAGTAGAGCATTATTCTCTGTTCATTTATTTATATCTATTAAATTTATATTATAGCATATAATACAGCAATCTTCCTTGTTGTATTCTAATATATAATCCAAAGAATCAAATCCTGCACAAGTCCCTACAGTCTTTTTGAAACATTTTTAGAAAGAGTTTGCCATGTCAACTTTCACAATCTGCAAAAGGTGGCCAGGTTACCCAACTGTTTTCATGCCTAAGGCAGAATTAGACCTCAACGCACAGTCTTCCATTTTTAGCCCAGTGCCTTTAACCGCTACAGTAACTTGATTCTCATATTTGCCATTATATTAATCATTTTTTCCCATGTTTTTCTTTAAGTTTTTTGATGTAATATCAGCGGGTGAAAAACCCCTGGCAGAACAAGATTGGTATCATGGGGCAATCCCAAGAATAGAAGCTCAAGAGCTATTAAAACAGCAAGGAGACTTTTTGGTGCGAGAGAGCCATGGGAAGCCTGGTGAATATGTCCTTTCTGTGTTTTCTGATGGGCAACGGAGACACTTTATCATTCAGTATGCTGATGTAAGTTTGACATTGATTTTTTAAGTGATTGAAGTGCACTTGATTTCAATAACTACATAAATAGTTTTAAATTATAGTTAGGTAGCTAAATAATTATGCACAGCTTGGGTATTATGTTACCTACCTGCTTCTTAAAGCTAAGAAATCATTATCCACCTCTTAAGAGCCACAAGTACTGTTCTGTGCATTTGATTCAGGATTCAGTAGTTTTCAATAGTGATCTTTCAACCTTTGAACTGGCGCATAGGAATGTTCTTTGCTCTCTTGTTAATTTCTAATTAGAGATCTTTAGAATTGTGTGATTGCTAGTTGCCATTTTTATCCTAAAATGCACTGATCTAATTTTTCGGAGAGGTGCAGTTCTTTATTTATTCAGCGTTGGTTCTTCCAATTATTCTTGAATTTCATGACTAGAACCTTATGTAGAAATTTCTGAAAATAATATCGACCCCCCCCCTCCCAAATAGGCAAACTAGTATGTTAACAATTGCAATGCATCACTGTGCAATAAGACTACTGCAGTGCATTCTACAAGAGGCTGCCTTTCAAGAGCATTCAGGAACTGGAATTGGTGAAAATGCAACTTCCCAATAATTGTTGGGTTTTACCTCCAAGTATACATGTGCCTTAGTCCCTACATTCATTGCCAGTAGGTTTTTGAATGCAGTTCAAAATGCTGATTTTTTCCCCCCTGTAAAGCCTGTGTGGCTTGTGCCTGGTATTTCCAGGAGCATCATTTCCTATTTGAATTGGCCAGTACTGTATGTTCATGACAGAAGAAACACTTGATCATACCCCAGTTCCAAAGAAGTGAGGGCAACTGAGGCCAGGAGATACTACTTTTGTATTGCAGCCTTCTGTGGAATAGCCTCCCCTTAGCTTGCCCCATCTGTTACAAAGTTCCTCAGAATGGAGCTCCTCTGGACAGCGTTTGGTGAGTTTCTATATTGCCACCATCTTTAATAGTAGTAGATGCATGTATTACTGCCGATGGACTGAGTTTGATTTTTTATATTCTATGCTTAGTTTTTTATAAGTTTATATTTGTACTCTGGATTTTTAAATTGTTGATTATAAATTAGGAATGTTTCACTGTTGATGTTGTAAACTGCAATGAATCTGTAGCTGACTACACATTATATAAATGGAATGAATGAAAGAAAAAATATAAAGCAGAATGTTCTCAGGAACACTAGCATATTTGGTTTCCAGACTGCAGAGTTGTACACAAGCTGTTCCTGTTCTTCAGAGGTATACTATTAGTAAAAGGGAGGATGGGGGAAGTTAATTATTCAAACAAATCCTCCTAAAATCATGAAACTGTGGTAGGAGGATACCTATGCTCCATTTTTCTACCCTAATCCTGATTTTAGATACATGCATGTCCTAATATGGCCAGCCAACTTTTCATAAAGCTGTAGTATACACACAATAGATAATTCACAATCGTTTCATTGAATTGTGAAATAAATATTTCTAATTTGAGGAATGATTAATTCATTTTTTTCACACAAACGTCTTAGTGGAAATAAATCACTCAAGCATTTAAATTCAAAAGAATCCACAGATGTAAAACACCTCAAGCATTTACCGCTTAAAAGCCTAAACGGGGAAGATTAAAATATGAAGAGTGTGAAATAATGTTTTCTGAATTAAGTATGGATGGAGATTATATGAAATTATGGGATTGGGTTACTGCTCTGCAAGAAGCAGATATTAATAGAGCTAAATAAAGCTAAATGTCTTGAAAACCTTCTGGAGTACACTATAAGATATATTTAGCAATCTGAAATTTATGGTGTAATAATTACCATATTATATAATCATCTTATATTTGGGGTATTAATGAAGTTTTTTCAAAACCTGTGCTCAAATATTATCTCAAAAGACTTCATTATTAAAAGCAATTGTAAAGACAATTGTAGTTGACCAGAACTATTTCAGAAAAGCAAATTTCATGTGTGTGTGTGCTGTATTTGTTGAGCTCCACATTTTTTTATCACTTAATACTCTACGACAAGAGTTATGAAGCAGCCTTCATAACCTTCAGTGGGAAGAAAAGCCCTGTTATTTGTTTTCATGATTCATCATCACTGTGTTTCAAAGGAATATTAGACTGTTTAAAAGTTCCCTAAATATTTTTTGGATTACTGTATATTTTTATTTTGCTTTATTCCATATATGAACAATATCCATTTATATCCTGTTAAAATAGTTCAGAGATAAAAGAGATATTGTATATTTCAGCTACTTTCAATGGAGATATTTCTATTGTTTTGTTTTAAAAACAACTATTAGAAAATAGGTCCGAGGTTGCTACTTTATTCTAATTTTTATTCCATGGCTTAGAACAAAAGTTATATATTCGGTTGTGAAATATTTTCTTTGTTAAAACTGGAAGTATTTCAAGGCACCCGCTGAATATTGCTTCTTGTATTTGAAGACAGTTTATGGTTTTTCTTATCCATAAGATAGTACTACTACTACTACTACTACTACTACTACTACTACTACTACTACTACTACTAATACTAATAATAATAATAATAATAATAATAATAAAGTTGGAAGGGACCTTGGAGGTCATCTAGTCCAACCCCCTGCTCAGGCAGGAAACCCTATACCATTTCAAACAAATGGCTGTCCAGTCTCTTCTTAAAAACTTCCAGTGTTGGAGCATTCACCGCTTCTGGAGGCAGGTTGTTCCACTGGTTAATTGTTCTAACTGTCAGGAAGTTTCTCCTTAGTTCTAGGTTGCTTCTCTCCCTGATTAATTTCCTTCCGTTGCTTCTTGTCCTGCCCTCAGGTGCTTTGGAGAATAGCTTGACTCTCTCTTCTTTGTGGCAGCCCTGAGATATTGGAACACTGCTATCATGTCCCCCCTCGTCCTTCTCTTCATTAAACTAGACATACCCAATTCCAGCAACCATTCCTTATATGCCTCCAGTCCCCTAATCATCTTTGTTGTTCTTCTCTGTACTCTTTCTAGAGTCTCAACATCTTTTTTACATCGTGGTGACCAAAACTGGAAGCAGTATTCCAAGTGTGGCCTTACCAAGGCATTGTAAAGTGGTATTAATACTTCACGTGATCTTGATTCTATCCCTGTTAATGCAGCCTAGCACTGTGTTGGCTTTTTTGGCAGCTGCAGCACACTGCTGGCTCATATTTAAGTGATTGTCCACTAGGACTCCCAAGATCCCTCTCATAGTTACTACTATTGAGCAAAGTACCCCCTATACTATACCTGTACATTTGGTTTTTCTTGCCTAAATGTAGAACCTTACATTTTTCACCATTGAATTTCATTTTGTTAGATAGTGCCCAAGTGTTCAAGTTTGTCAGATCCTCCTGTATCTTAAGCCTATCTTCTGGACTGTTGGCTATTCCTGCCAGCTTGATGTTATTTGCAAATGTGATGAGTTCCCCATCTATCCCCTCATCCAAATCATTAATGAAGATGTTGAAGAGCACTGGGCCCAGAACAGAGCCCTGGGGCACCCCACTATACACTTTCCTCCATGTAGATGCAGTTCCATTGAGGACCACACACTGGCTATGGCCGGTCAGCCAGCTACGAATCCATCTCGTGGTGATGCTGTCTAACCCACATTTTTCTATCTTATCAAGTAGTAGGTTGTGATCTACTTTATTAAATGCCTTCCTGAAGTCCAAGTAAATTATATCCACAGCATTCCTCTGGTCCACTAATTTTGACACTTGGTCAAACAATGCAATAAGATTTTTCTGGCATGATCTGTTTTTGGCAAACCCATGTTGGTTTTTAATAATGACTTTGTTTGCCTATAGGTGTTCACTGATTCGTTGTTTGATTATCTTTTCCAGAATCTTCCCAAGTATTGAGGTCAGGCTGATAGGTCTGTAGTTTCCTGGATCTATTTTTTTCCTTTTGAAGATGGAAACTACATCAGCTCTTTTTCAGTCCTCTGGTAGTTCCCCAGTGCTCCAGGATCTTTGAAAAATATAGTTAAGTGTGTTCTGAGATCACATCTGCCAGTTCCTTGAGAACCTTGGGGTGTAATCCATCTAGTCCTGGTGATTTGAACTCATTTAGGCTGGACAGGTGCTCACTTACCATTTTCTTGCCTATCTTAACTTGTGTTTCTAATCTATTTTTTATGGTACTGTTTTTGATAGGTTGGACTGTTTTTTCCCTTTGTGTAAAGACAGATGCAAAAAACGAGTTAAATAGTTCTGCTTTCTCCCTGTTGCTTATTACCTTCTTGCAATTTCCCCCCACTAATGGACCAATCATTTCCTTAACTTTTTTCTTGTTTTTATATGTTGAAAGAAACTTTTTTTGTTATTTTTGACTTTGGTCGCAAGCCTTAGTTCATTTTGAGCCTTAGCTTTCCTCACTTCATCTTTGCAGGCACAGGCTATTTGCTGATATTTTACCTTAGTTATGTGCCCCTTTTTCAACATAATATTTATCTCAATTTACTGAAAAAATTAAAGTTCTGTTCAATTAAGCTGTAATTTCCTGCTCATTTTTATAGCATGGTCATGCTTTTACAATTAAATTATTTCCACAGAAGTTCAGTTTATTTACTGTGTATCCTGATTTGATGATCTATAAACTTTTTGTTTTGAATGAAGTTTACAATTTTATTTAGTAAATATGTATATTGGCTACAATTACAGTGTTGGATATAACAACAATGAACATCTGTAAGTTAAATAAACTGTCATTTAAAACCTTCATGAAGAGAGGAATGAAGATAGTAAAAGAAGCAATTATTAAGTTATTTTTCCAAATGTTTCCAGCTGTTGAACTATGGTTTAGCAAACTAAGTCATACATTATATATTATCCAAATAATTATAGTTTAGTAAATCATTTCAGCATTCTTTGGTAGAGGCTCTTAGAAGACAACTGGTTGCATAAAACAGCGGTAAAGTCAGGCATGGCTTTATTAATGGAAAGAGCACCCGTTGCTTAACTTTGGTATTTCTTCCTCAATTTTGTCCTATAGAATCAATACAGATTTGAAGGAACAGGATTTTCAACGATTCCTCAGCTTATAGAATATCATTATACAACAAAGCATGTGATTACAAAGAAATCAGGTGTTATTCTGCTGAATCCTGTTGTTAAGGTATGTATATTTAATACTAATGGTGGAAACTGAAAAGTAGGCTACATGGTATTGTGTAGTTCTCTTTTTTATGAATATTTGATTTCTTGTCATCATTTTTATTGTTATTCAAAAAAGTTAAAATAGAAAACCCCAGAAAAGAAGAAGATTCACAGGAACAATTAAACAAAAAAAAGAAACAAAACATTAAAAAAGTGCATTTTAAAAAAAACCCACCACAAACACACCTACATATATTATTCCCTCTAGGTGAATACTGTTAAATGTATTACAATATTAGTTTCCCACTCCTTGTGAAACAGGCCCAGCATTTTTTCAAACTTCTAATTCTGTTTAAAATTATTAACCTGTCATCTATCTACTGTATTAATGGCCAGATAGTTAACAAACAGATAGAACAACAAACAAACAAAAAAGGCAAAAACAAACTATCACCCTCTGCTAACAAACTATTATTGTATTCAACTTGTAGGAAGTTTACCACGGTTTTTTTCTATCCCCAATCATCCCAACAGTTAACTCTGATTCGTCCTGAATCAAATATCCATGATTGTATCTTAATGACATCTCTTATCAATTGTTCTCTAGTTAAATATAGTAGATCCATTCTCCAAAGTCTGTCTATCTTCCCCAAAAAGTCCAACTGAAATTATTTTTTGAGTTGAGTATGATAAATCCATTCTCCAATCTTCATTTGTCCATTCAGTTTTCTATTATTGTAAAAGAGTGCAAGCTTGAACTTTGAAAAGGCATGCATAATCCTCTCAGGCAGTTCTAAGTTTAAAAATTCATATCAGTCTCCTGTACCGAATCTACCACTCTCAAATCAAATTCCTTTTGTGAATCTAATTTAACTCCAATTACTTGCATTTGGATTTTTTTTTTTTTTGCAAACATTATTATATTGTCAAACTGTTTAAAAAAGTTTTCAACTTGGGTTTGCATATTACCAAAGGATCTTTTTTCTACCAGCTATACTTAGTTGTCTCTAATATGATACATTGCTGCTCTAATATAACTTGGCAAGGGAGAGATAAAGCTCCTCTGAGATTGGGAGGATATTCCTTAGAATAGAGAGGCGGGGAGAATATTTTTAGATGTTTCACTCCAGAATAAAAAAGAATTTTGAAAAAATATTCTCCAAAGTGTAGTGAAAGTCCATAATAGATGTAAATGAAGTCTAAACATTTTCATTACTCCAAGGCATGCTGTTTTTCCTTATGGAAGACAAAGGTTATTCAAAAAAGTCAAAAAGATCAAAGGAGAAGAGCAAAATAAACAAATAAAATCCAGCAGGGGGTTAAAATAAATCAGCATTGAACAGGCCGGTCAACCTTTGAGATAGGAAGCAAAGCAAAACAGAAGCTTTAAAAAGTGTAGTTGATACCCAGGCATGCTTAAGAGAATGGTCTGCCAAAAGGAAAAAGATGGATGACCTGGTTTTCCAGTGCTTCTACTAGGAACTGTAATTTTCAAGATATCTTGTCCCTGGTGGGTCCATGGCAGTCAAAAACCCTCTTGGGTGTTCCCAAATGCTCCCATTCAAATCCAGGGAGCTGGACTGCCAAAGAACCAGTTTTTGCAGATTGGCAGATTGTAGGTAGAAGAGAAAAATCTCCCTACTGTTCAGTAGCCGTCTTGAGGAGCAGTCCATGAATATTTGATCTTGCTTGCATATTTTGTTTCTAAAATCATATAAAACACTTAACCTTTATTCTTTCAAAGAGTTATGCAAGCTCAGACACATTAGAAAATTAAAATGTCAAACAGACTGAAATTACTGCTTCATGTTGAAGCATTTCGGGGGGGGGGTTCTGCATTGAGGCGGACACTTGGGTGCAACACTGGGATAACCAGAAAGTGGGTGGTAATCTGGGATGGATTCTGGGCAGTTGGGTGGCATGAAAATTTGTGAAGGACTCTGGATAGCAAAGGACAAACCAATCCTAATCATAGTTGCTAAACAAGAACTATCTATAATATTAGTCCTCATTTTGGGGTTTTTTTTTCAGCTTTTACATAGGCTTTGGTTGTTTGTGAATGGATATTTTATCCTTCTCTGCTTCCCATAAGGTTATAACATTTGTTCACAGTGATTTGTATAAATGTATTTTTCCAAATAATAACATGTAATTATTATTAGAATATGAACCCAGACAGTAAAGCAGCTGAGGACTTCTAGTAGTTACTTATAATAAAGTATGATTTGTGTGTGTGTGTATGTGCGTATCTGGGATATGTTATGAAAGAGGCTGTTTAGGGGTGGGTAACAATCACTGAGATTAGTAATTTATTTTATGGACTAAAAATATATGAACCTCCCATGTTACAATACTAATATCAGGTTTATCATAAACTTTTTTATGCTATTCTTGTAATAAACCTTTTAGATAAGAAATGTTTGAGTTTTACTGAGTGCCCTGCCTCTTGGTAATGGAACAGTCAACTTTTCTAATTCTACAATTTCAGCTATTTTTGAAGCTTTTTCTTTAAATGTTCATTATGTTAATTCACCTAAAAATTAATATAAAACTTTGATTTATTGATTGAGTGAAATATTGTCAACATTGTGCACAAAAATATACTTTTAAAAATTACTGTTTTCCTAAACAAGTGAAACTTCTGTAAATACTGTCAGGAAAATGAAACATATTTTTTTTTAGCAAAAGACTGGACCGTTATGATGAACTTTGACTTGGCAGGAACTATTCAGCAATATGTGAACATTATATTAATCATAATAGTGGGAAGATATAGACTTGGTTTTGGAAATAATCTGTAGCCTTATATACCTTAACGAATACTGAATACTTTTTTATAATTCACACCTATCAAATATTCATTTGTATTTATTTTAACTGGATTTCTTTAAAAAAAACTTCAAGCGGCTAAATTGTGATCATGCTCATAAAATCAGACGAATCAATTTATCAAATAACTAGAGTAAAAAGGAATTTCAAAATATTTTGTTAGATTTTTTTCATGTGATGCATGCAACACAAATGCTTTCTTCTATGTTAAGTACTACTTGATCACTGTTTGATTGCTTGTTTAAAATTCATGTGAGGTAAGTCCTTGGCAGGAGTCCTTGAATATTTTAATTCTCCTTTCATACAAAATTATCCTACGTGTATCCATTTAGTAATTGGAATTTAAACTGAAGCATCAATTGATGCTATGGAACAAACAAAATGATGTTCAGTTAGCTTATTGAATAAATGTTAATTTTTTTACTGTGTCATTGAAGTAACTATTAATAGATATGGCCCAATTACACATCATGTTCACTATATGTCAAGCTAGGAATCATAATGGAAAATTCTTAAATTAGAAGTGTCAAAAACATTAAACAACATTGTGTGAGTAATTTTTTTTTTGAAGGAAAAAAAGGTAAACAAAGATTTCCTTTTATGCTTACATATAAAGTAATAATGTTTTGCTAATTCAATAAATTATCATTAGAGTAATGAAAATTCTATTGCAGCAATCATGGCCCAAATATATTTGACAAGATAATAGTAGCCTATATATATATAGTGTGTGTGTGTGTGTGTGTGTGTGTATGCTTTTATAAATATATTTTAAAAATCAATTATATATATATTATTATATATAATTATATATAATAAAATTTATATATTCAAATATGTGAACATCAGCAGAGGGATGTTTGTATTGCGCTTTCTCTTTCTGTGTGTGTATATAATATATTGAAAGCACTGCATTAGTAATAAGAAAATAAAAAGTTAATGTAGAATATTCATTAGAATTTAATGTGTTTTCTGAGGTAAGTATTGCATTTGTGTCAGGTTCATTGGCTTTCTGTTTATACAAAACAAATTTAAAATGCTGGTTTAGAATCTTAAATCCTTGTACAATTCGCTATCATGTTACTTTAATGAATATTTGAACCCATGTTTTAGAAAATCTGTTGCATTCAGTTGCGGCATATTTTGCTATGAATTCAGGCATAAGGGACCTGGTGACAGAATTTTTAGTACCTTCAAACTTAGAATTTCCTTTGATTGCCCTCTTTTGTTTTAAGGATAATAGTCCTTTAAGTCCCCATCCCACCATCTGTTTAATACATATTAGAGATTGAACTCATATCTCTTGAGACTTTTTATCATTCATTTCATGTGATCATCTTTATGGAAAGCTAAATTTTGCATCCTGATTTGGACTCCAATTAATTTCTGGATTGAGTGTCTGATTACTATCGTAATTAATGGAAAAGCCCTTTGAACCAAAGGTCACATATGCTGTTAAATTTCTACACACACACACACACCCAAATTTTAATTCTGTTTCAAGATAGCCGCTTGGATACAGGATCCTAAAAACAATACATTGTTTTTTCCGAGACTTGGAAAGAAAAGTGATTCTTTTAGTGAGAAAATTGCCTCTGAAGTAGGCTATCCAGAAAAGAGTGTTGAACATTCATCATAATTGACAAGCACCTAAAGAACAGGACTGCATTTCAGATTCCCATCTACTGGAGTTTCCCTGTGGAAAATGTAAGCCTTTCTGTTTCTATATGGATCATCCAAAAATACTTGAAGTGGACAAAGCAGCAACTGAATCTTAAAATTCTTCATAAATATGGAGGATTTTTGCCAGGGTGATGGGCTCTATTTTACACACTGTGATATGGAACAGTCATATTGGAGGTGGGCAAAACCATAGATTTAGGCAGTGATTTTGTTTTCATTAAGTGTATGTGGCCTGAGTGAGGCTGTATCATGAATCAGTTTTTTAAAAAAAAAAAATCAGTAGGAAGAGCTCTTAATATCTGGTGAAGCTTAAACATTTTCCAAATTTGGAATTGCATAACTATCTTTTTTTCTCATTAAATGGATTTATAGAAGGACTACGTTTTCCAGTGTGGTTTTGATTTGCTAGCAGGCAGGAACAAACTGCATGAGATCTGCTCTACTTTCTAGCAGATACATATGCTTGTGTTTTGCAGTCTTTTTGATAAACATTGAAGTGAACATTCC